CCACTCCTTGTGGAAACACTCCTTCCTTTCTTACACCTCTCCTGTTGTTACTAAAATTCCTAAGTACATATGAACTTCTGCTCTCTCTTTACTCCCCACATTCTTCACTAAGTCTCACAAGGTGGGTGAAGTGTTCCTTCTTTTTCAGATTCCCTGTTAATCTTTCATTTCCAAATCATCTATTCCTTTAAGATCTATTTTTAATAGTGTTTTCATTGTTTTTTATTATTCTCAAGACATTTCCTGATTGCCCTTCGTTGACTTACAATTCAATTTGCAGTCTCCACCCTAAATTTACCTTAAGTTTCAACCTTGTCATCACTTGTTGCAACAAAAATAAAGAAGTTTAGTAAGGATGATTCAATGACTTCACCTGGGGTTTGGATTAAACAGGCATCCTGAGAACTGTAAGCTTCTATTACTACTCTATAAATAAATTCTCAAATAAATATTCAAATAAATGAATTTATAGCAATGCTCAAATCTCAGAAAGGGAAAGGATACATATAATGGTCCCAATTATGAATATTCCTAGATGGACAAAAACTGATAGAATGAAATTAAAAGAAAGAACCACAGCCTAACATTTCTGTTATGAGAAAAGCACTGATCAAATTCTGCAGTTGTAGAACTCTGGATGCAGCAGCAAAAGTGAGCTGGAGAAATCTCCATCAAAAGAAACAGGATCATTGTTGAGATATCTTAATATAAGTAACACATTTTAATTTTCCCCACTGGAACTAATTGCATACATGGATCAGTTAGCCTTTTATGTAGTAGGAAGATGACAGGGAATATTTGGGCCCCAGAGGCAAGGCAGGTTTCCAACACAGTGGCCACTATTTGAGAAGAATGAGGCACAGACAGATTCAGAAGCCCAGCTCTTGGACTCTCTCCTTGAAAATACACCTTGTCCTTTTCTCAAAGGCACTGAAAGAGGCCATGGTAAACGTGTATGCCATTTACACAAAGGCTCAAAGATAATCAGATATACAGAGTTGAACAAACAATAAGAAACAGCCAATTACCAAGGGGACAACAATACCATGGAGGCAAGGTACTTAATGTTGTTATCAGAAGTTCTGACATCCAAGGAAAGAGTTTATCAAACAATTAGAATAAAAGCTTCAGAGTAAGTATGATTAATAAACTCAGAGGGATATGAGAAATATTTCATACATAGAAGTCAATTTCATATACTAGAAAACAACATTTGATTGTTGAAATAAAAAAACAAACCTTTAAAAGATATGCTGAGCATTAAACTAACTCTATTAGTTAGCTGGGAAGTAATGCTGAAGAATATGCCTAAGATGCAATCCAGAAAGATCAAAGGCAGGGAAGAAATTAAAATGGTAAGCTTTGGGGAAGAGGAACTGAGAACTCCAACATGTATCTAGTAAGAGCTCCAAGGAGAGAAGAGTAGAGTAAGAGTAAGAAGCAAATAGAAAAAGAGTAAGTAACAAATAGTTTAGAAAGAAACGAAGTGCTGAAGAGTGACAAGTGTCCTCAGAGTGAAAGGACTCACTAAGTACAAAGTGGGAAAAATGACAAGAAAGCACTATCCTAAAATAATGTAATGAAGTTGCCAAAAAAAGGGCTATAGAGACTACCCTAAATGTCTAAATCTCTATATAGTTGCAATTATCTACACAGGATGAAAATACTGACACTAGAATTTTCATTAGAACACCAAATACAGGAAGTTTAGTAAACAACTTTTCTAAGCTGTGAAGTGGAAAATAATGGGGTACATGGAAATCTATATCAAATAATATGTGACTCAGCAATAGAGAAAAATAAGACATTGTTATACCTAGGAAATACTCACTTGGCTGCTCACAAGCATTACCTTTATGGATGTGGAGAGGGCTAAGGGGACATAGCAAGCATAGGAAATAGCAGCAAACAAACAAAAGTGATCTGTTAGTCTAAATTATTATTGATTGAAATAGCAATCCAAAACTAACATTAATAGTGAGATGGTAAATGGCATAAAGTAGTAAGGAAGGGAGGTTGAGATAAGCTCAGATTTTTGTCATATTCAAAGCCAGGTTTAGGAACAAATTAATTCCAGACGTTGTTAGAAATTATAAACGAGGTGAAAAAGCTTTAAGAATTATGACTACTAGATAAACAGAAAGAAGACAAGTAAAGTTTATATTGTTAGATTAAAAGTAGTACAAAGAACTCTGATAAAGAAAAAGCTTACAAATAAGATCACGTCATGATTGAAGAAGTTGGTTATTGTGAAAATGAAAAACTTTGATAATACCACCCGTTAATTGAGGATTGAGTACTCTCAAATATTGCTTACGAGAAGTAAATTGAAAAAATAGTTACAATGGTTTATAAAATAAAAGTGAAATTAACATGGAAATTCCAGCAGACATTAACATTTATATACCATAGTGTTAAAATATTTAAAATATATAATAGGAATATGGGAAATTAAAGAATTCATAAACAATTCAAGATAAATTATTTAAGAATTGCTAGACTAAATAAACAGCAAAAGTTTGGTCTAATGGGTGTCAAGTGAAACATCTTTCCTTAGAATAATGCTAGTTCTCTTTAGAGGGCAGATTGGCAGTGACCGTTGGAATCTACATTGGGCAAACCTTTTGATCCAATATTTCTGCTTCTTGATACAGAATAGAAAGAGTGGTATGATGAAGCATTAGTACTGGTATAATTAAATAAATATTAATAAAATACTTTGAAATCATATGAATCATTATAAAGCATAAAGTAGACAAAACACACATAGAATTACCTAGAAATATTTTCCAAAATAATAGTTTCAAGACAACACAAACAATATTACTTGAGAAATCCATATGGAAATTAGGAACAAGTAAGAGAGTATTGGTGTAGATATTATTACAGGGTTAAGAAAGAAAAATATCTTTAATAAATAGTTCTCTATCTCAAAAGTCCAGGATTTTGTATAAAAATACAAATATGATAAGTAGAAAGTGCCAATGCTAAGTTAAAATGTGGGTCACTACACAGAAAAAGATATCATGGCACTTCCTGAAGTGCCCTAAGGTGTGACAATACTCAACAATTCCAGACACCCGGTCATGACTTCTGTGAATAACACAGATGATCACAGCATAGCCCATGCTAATTATGTTTATCCCACCAGGTTTGAAAACTAATTAGATGTTTTCAGTTGTAAAATTGTATAGTAATAATGAAGAAAGTAAATGAAGCCCATGAGATTGTAATTAATATCTCAGCCAGCACAATTGTATAGAAATACATAAATACATAAATTTGTCTCCGTCTCACTGGGTTTTCTCCCATTGGATTTTCAATAGGATGCTAACAAACTTGTGTATGTCTGCTGTGAAGGTACCTCTTGTGTTCCAAAGGTTCCTAAGTCCTCTGTAAGTAAGCCTGTTCTACAGAGATGAATCCTGTATTCTGTCCTCATCACAATGTTTGACTAGCAGGTAACATTCATTCTTTGTTACTGATGCATGAATGTTCCAAAAGGAAGCTGAACTAGTCTCAGAAGTCCCAGACCATTGCTTCTGCTTCTGAAGCAAGTCACTAAACCCTACTTAAAAGCAAGAAGTGGGGAATTACACTGCTTCCTAAGTGGCAGTAGTAGAACAAAATTTGCAGTCATCTTTAATTTGTCACAAATAAATCTTTATTCTGTCACTCTTCAATACATCACACTAATTCAGTCTATAGTATTGCCAGTGCACGACTCATCATGATAATTTAGAGCTTGAGATTTTAGACTAAATAAAAAATGTGAAGTCCAACCCTAAATTTGCACTATGAAAGGCCAATATAAAAAAATCTTAAAAGATATTCATGATGTACTTTTTCCCTTTCCAGGGACTATACTGATATGGAAAAATTTCCTTCTCATCTCCCTTGACTAGTAAGATGATATTTTAAGGAATGTCATTCCATTGAGGTTGAAAAAGATTTCTTTCATTTTGAGTAGCTTGGGATGTCAGCTCTCCACTGTGCTTTGTCAAAAGCTCTCATCTTCAGTCCACATGGTTATGAAAGCACAAAATCATAGTTGTGGAATTGACACAGGTCTCCCAACAATATCAGTTCTTTTTCACCTTGTTTTGCTCATGATTATGCCTTACCTGGTGAGAGTGGCTGGGTAGGATTTCTTTTATTACATGAAAGTTTATTTCTGCCTGCATTATGAACTTTTGAAATTAGTTAGTTAAATTGCCAAATAATTGTGTATATTTGTGGGGCTTGATGTTGATAAGCATACACTGTTGAAAGATTAAATCAAACTCCTTATCATATCTACCACCTCATCTCTCTGTCATTTTTTGCAATGAGAACATTTAAAATCTATTGTTTTAGTATAGATCTCTTTCTCGCTTCTAGTACATTTCCAGTATATTTTCTGCTCTCCACATTCACTCAAAATCCAAGATGCTGAGCAGTTGCAGTATTTTGGAGTCGTATCAGGTAAAAAACATTATTGTGGAAAAGAAAGAGATTAAATTAAACTGGTAATATAATTTGATCTTGAAAAGTCACATATTTCCTTCCACAACTCATTGGCATTTGCTGTTCACATGCCAATGTAAACAACACAACTGCAAGAGGACTGGGGAGCGTGGTGTCTAATGTGACTTAGAAATAGGGGCAAATTGAATGAATATTGTCAAACACTAGCATGAGGTCAATCACTTTAACCATTTAGGTTTCCAGAACATCACTGCTGTCAGCATTAATTCAACAATGTGAATTGACTGAAGTTGAAACTGTGATTGGCAACCGGGTTCACTGACTGCTTTGTATGTATGGCCTTAAGAATAATAAATATTAATATTCTCAAATCATGGATAATGTAACATCTTTGGAAACTTTCATGAAGTGTAGGCATCAGATAACAGAGAGATCTACATTTTTATTTTAATAGGCTAAATACTGAAACAAGCATAACAACACATTCTAATATCCACTGTTTTTTTATTTCAATAGGTGCTATTCCAAAAAGAATGGAGACTGGGAACCACACAACGGTGACTGAGTTCATTATTTTGGGGTTAACGGAGGATGCTACACTTTCTTCTGTCTTCTTTGTGGTTTTTCTAGGAATCTATGCTACTACTGTGCTGGGAAATACAAGCATAATAATGTTAATCCAAAGAAGCCCTCAGCTTCACACCCCAATGTACCTCTTTCTCAGCCATTTGGCCTTTGTGGACATAGGGTATTCCACATCAGTCACACCTGTCATGATTGTGAGCTTTCTAAGAGAGACAACTACTATCCCTGTTGCTGGTTGCATAATCCAACTTGGCTCTGATGTTGTCTTTGGAACAGCTGAGTGCTTCCTCCTAGCCGCCATGGCTTATGATCGTTATGTGGCCATTTGTTCTCCCCTACTCTACTCCAACCACATGTCCCCCAGGGTCTGCATCATCTTACTTCTTATTTCCTACTTGGGTGGGTGCCTGAATGCTTCATCGTTTACCAGCTGTTTATTGAGCCTCACTTTCTGTGGACCAAATAAAATCAACCATTTCTTCTGTGACCTGCCACCACTCATTAAGCTTTCTTGTACCCATATTTACATTGCTGAAATATCTCCTGCCATCTCGGCAGGGTCAATCATTATTATCACACTGTTCACCATCATTGTTTCATACGTCTACATCCTCCACTCCATTCTGAAGATGCGCTCTACTGAGGGAAGGCACAAGGCCTTCTCCACCTGCACTTCCCACCTCACTGCAGTCACTTTGTTTTATGGGACAGTTACTTTTGTTTATGTCATACCAAAGTCAAGCCACTCACCAAACCATATTAAAGTGGTGTCTGTGTTCTACACTGTCATAATCCCTATGTTGAACCCCCTGATTTATAGTCTGAGGAACAAGGAGGTAAAGGAGGCCATGAGTAAATTGATGGTGAGAACACATTCCTCATTTTGAAAAAAAATTAATGTGAATCCAGAAATAGTAAGACAATAATTTGGGGAACATTTATGATAGATGTTCTTGTTGTCCATCAGGCTTATTTTATGTAAAGAACTGTGTCAAATACACTGTACAGTATGTTAACTAATGCCAACTTGAGTAATTTTGTAGAATCACAAAATAAAATATGTCATTTTCATAAATATCTGTGTATATATTAATATGTACATATCAGGACTATGATACCCATAGAACATAGTTTCACTCTTTCTCTCTTCTGCTTATAATTTAGTGTCTTTAATTGGAGGGTGTTTTTTAACCTGTGCTTAGGTATACACACAATTTAAATGTTGACTTTAGATAACATCTTGGAAAGCACCACACACTCAATGGCAATGGAATTGATGACACTATTGACAGCCCATGTCACTTTCTCTGGAAGACTTCATGTCTCTTATACAGGATTGTTACAATCTTTGGAAATAATGAAGTGCATATTACATGCATTTCAATGGAATTAAAATAAATTAATTCTCAAATCTATATCCTCTTGGTTGTGCTGTATATTAATTATTGAGGTTTGTGAATAGCTTACTATTATTGTTTTCATAATATTTTCCTTTAGTTCCATCAATTTTTATGCTTTTTATATTTTGCAGCTTTTATTGCTTTTGTGAAGACTAAATTTGTTCTATGGTGATGTTTGGGATGATCAAATGCTTCTTGTTGATTTCCATGGCCTAAAATTGCTATGTGGCCATTTGCTCGCCTCTGTTTTTCTTCATGAACCTGTCCCCCAGAGTCTGTATTCTCTCAGTGGAGACTTCCTATCTGGGAGACTGTGTAAATGCTTTGACATTTAGTAGCTGTTAATTGAGTCTGCTCTTCTGTGGACCAAATCATACAGATAACTTTTTCTGTGATTTCACCCCTTTCCTGCTCATACTGCTCTATCTTTCCTGCTCATATATCACCATTATTGAAATTACCCCATACATCTCTTCTGGCTCCATCATTGTTGTCACATGTTTTTCATTGCTCTCTCTTACATCTACATTCTTACCACAATCCTGAAGAAGAACTCCACTGTAGGGAGGCCAAAAGCCTTCTCCACCTGCACCTCCCACCTCACTGCAGTCACTCTCCATTATGGAACTATTACCTTCATTTATGTGATACTCAAGTCCAGCTACTCAAGAAAGCAGATCAGAGTATATTCTAGGGTATAGTCAGAGAACAGAGATGTTTTGGAGGCCCCAGGGAAGTCAACCATCCGGTATTCTTAGATGTTGTTGTTGAGTTGAAGATGACCTATAAAGTTTTCATTACCAGTATCACACTTAGATTCTACCATATTCTGCTTCACTGAGTGTTTAAATTAATGCAATACATTTGTTCTAATTCTTACTTTAAAGCAATTGGGAGACACTGTGAGATCAGTTATACTGATCACAACAACCATCACTACTATTGAACTCATCCTTTATTTAATTTATTTAGTGAACAACAATAATTTGTACTTACTATGTTCCAGTTCTCATTCTATGCATGTTATATCATTAACCCATTTATTTCTTATAACAACTTTGTGACATAGTCTTATTTTTTCTTATTAAACATAAATAATCTGAAGCCAAAAGATAGGAAGTAGCTTGCCCAATGTGATGAAGCTAATATGTGTGGGACCACTATATGAATCCAGACAGTCTGGTTCCAAAGCCACCTTGTTTTTGCATTTTATTTTCACAATAGTCTGTGTGAAAAAGTTTGTGACAATAGTACTTTGTGCAGGTAATTCTAAATTCCTCTCAATTTATAGAGGAAAAATTGAGTCTTAGAGAGTTCCAGTAGTATGTCCAGGTGGATGTGGGTTAAGTCCTCTCTTTCTAGACCCCATGCACTTAGTCTATATGATACCAAAATAGTTCTTATGATTTCAGTTGCTGAACTGGAGGATTTGGGCTGTGTCATCATGCCTTAGCTTGAATTTTGCATTGATGTCTAAAACAAATTCCATCCCTAAATGGTCTAGATAGTATAGATTTAAGAAAACAGGTGAGGATAGAAATAGATTTATTCTCATCTTGTAGAACCTCCAGGTCCACCAATGTGACATCATGATCACATTCGAATCTTTCACTGGAAAGGTCTCATCTCCATCATAATTAATAAGTAGACTTCCAAAAAACCTGTACGTCCCATATGTCCATCATAATCACAGATGCGCTCTACATCCCCATTGAATCTGATACGTTTTTCCTAATCTCTAACACCGAATACACATATTCACATTCCCATGACCACCCCCCACGTTCAATAACATAAAAATACCCATGGCTTTCACAAACTCCGCACCTGTAATACCCATATATACCAAACCCAATAAAAGACGACATCAGGAAACAACAAAACAACCTGCTCATTCAAACCAGAACCTACCCAGAAGTGCAAAAGAATTATGAGCGAACAACAGCGCAAAACAAACTAATACTCTTCTATCACAACACGTCCATCACATCATCAATCGAAAGACATCGGACAAACCCACAGACACAAAACCAACGCAGAACGCATTGCCCTAGGAACACAGGAGCCACCCTCCCACATCTAGAAAGCAAAGTTAACCTATAAACAGGCATCTTTTTGAGGCACCATCAAGAAGCGAACCACAGAACTCTCCAAACTCATTCACGACCCTCCACAATTATATCTACACCCCATTCATTCCATGCGACTCCACAACCCACACTGGCAGGCGAACAACAACCATGTAGAAGCACACCTTAGGGACGATAATATCACAAAAAACTAAATTTTTATGCAAAAGGGGAAACACCACCTATCCCATACTCCACAATTGTACTGTACGTCTCACACATGCTACACCACACTTCACTCAGCACAAATACAAACCATCCTTAACACACACTATCCACTCTGCCACCATCTTAAAAGTCACAAAAATCGCCCACAACAAACCAAATACATCCTCCATCACAATCGCTAAACACACGACATACAATCTACAAACTCACACTAGACATATTACTTCCACATACACATCACGACTCCACACAATAACCAAACAATCTCACTAAGTAAAATTTCAATACCCGAACATCATCTCCCTCCCACCTTACCAACAATCAACTCTACTACTGACATATAACACCACATAATAAACATCTAGAACGTAAAAAAATAACATACCTCATATGGACAACAGACAGAACATGACTGCCATAAATAGAACCATACCAATGCCACTAATGGATAGCAAAGTTACAGCATATGTAAAATCCTGTGTCCTTAGCAAGACCTCCTTCTTATATCACAGAGAGAATGCATGGGGATAGCTTTTTAGTGTTGTTGTAGACCATTCAGACCATCATGATGGTTCACTAAGCATTTATGAAGTACCAGGCATCATACTGAAACAAAAATCTTCTGACTTCTAAACATGTACTACATTGCGTAGAAGCTATGTGTTATCTTGTGTAGAAGTAATTTGGTACTTACACGTACAAGAAATGCAATGAGGAACAGTAAGCCCAAAGAAGGAGTACTTTTTCCATCTAGTAGTGTAGAATAACACTTTCTGGAGGATAAACCCCCAAAACAGACTTACCACATGACTAGATAAAGCAAGGTTAAGCACAATGGGGGAAGTATTGCAGATATAAGAAACAGCATTGGAAATGGCAAATGAGAATGAAAGAGCAGGATGATTTATGAAACATAAAGAATAAAGTGGAAAGGAGAAGTGGTGACAGATGGTGTCAACTGGAAACAGTTTACAGAAAGCCATAAAAATTCCATGTGAGGTATACATTATTCAGAGAGGAGCTGCTGAAAGGCTTTGTGAAAGGAAGTAAAACAGACCAATTAAGAGAAGGAGTAGTCTAGGATGACTCACACAGTCCAGCTTTCATGAATAGATGATCTACTAACACACTCCTGTTGAAGTCTCAATGTAGAGTAGAAAAGCAAGAGGGTAGATCACATATCTGCAAAAATGTGTGAGATTTTTCACTATGTTCTCTTCCACCATAAGAGTATCATTGTGCAATTGGAAGTCTAGCTAAAAGAGAAAAGTCTCAATTCACATCAACCAGTCCTGTCCAATCTCCTCTTAGTTCAACCCTGTATTTCCTGCTCTGTACCCAGTTTGCACTGCTTATTCACCATAACAACATTCACAAGTGGGGAGTTATTGATGTTTTTTTCCTGAGGATCCTTTCCTGGCCTTTATTTTGTGACAAACTTCATATTATCCTTGATTTGAGCAGATGTCTGATGCTCCTTATTCACTTATTAGAGTTTGAATACGAAATGTGCCCCTCAAGCACATGTGTTGAATACTTGGTTCCCAGCTTGGTGCTATTTTGAGAAACTCTGGGAGGTGGAGCTTAGATGGAAGAAGAAGGTTACTGGGTATATGTCTGATTGTCCCAGGCTGTTTCTTGTCTCTGCTTCCTAACTACCATTAGGTGAAGAAGTCCCCCCAATACTCTTGCATCCATGATGTTCTTCCCAAGCATATGGGGCTAAGTAACTATGGCTGAACCCTCTGAAACCATGAGCTATTTCTCCCGTAAGTGGTTTATGTTAGGTATTTTGTCACAGTGACTCAAAAGCAACTGATACAACACTTAACAGATACTGTGGAGCTAGACATAAGAGAACTTTGATAACACCCTGGTCATATAGAAGGAATATAGGAGTAACATAGCAAGCACCAGCCAATAACATTTTGAAAATCCAAGAAGTCACAAGTTGCCATTTTCCTTATCAGACCTCAATCCTATTCTGTTTATAAGTCTGTTGTCTTTTTGCTTCATTACTTCTACATTTTTGGTTCTGATCACTAATTTAATCTTCCTTTCCCAGAACAATAGTCTACATAACAACTCAGTAATTGCCTTTGCCTAATTTCCTGATCAATATAGGTTGAGAGGCCAAAGAGCTGTTTTCACTTTGCATTGAGTAAATCATAAGGAGATCAAAGTGATTTT